CCCTCTACAGACAGAACAGTGTTTCCTACCTCTCTCCTCCAGTATTTTCTTGTGTCATCAAAAGCCCTGACATGACCCTGATGTCTTGTGAGCTCTCAACTACTGTGAAAGACTCAAGCTAGCTGCCTCATCCTTGAGAAGCCGTCTTTGTCATTCTTCTCCGTGTCCTAGTGTCCTGTATGTTTGCTTTGCATTCCTTGGGAATGTTGCTTTTTGCTTGTACTTGTTCAAGCTCCGTCTTTCCCTCTAGACTAAGCCCACTGAGAACTGGAATTTTGTCTTTCCTGTTTCTGGGGCTCTGGGGAAAACAAAAGTAATGAATGAATGGATGACCATATAAACATTAGTATAGGGTTGGAATTAGGCATTTGGGTTTCTTGGTTCTTCTGATTATGGCATCATACCAGGCTCGTGAAAATGTCAGAGCCTGATAATTTTATCATAGCTGTGAGTTAGGAGTCCTTGATGCTCTATGATCTTGTTCTAAACTAGTGATACAGGTTATAATTTCTACAGTTGCTAAAAAATGTCACTGGGCTTTCAATAACAGTTTTCCAAACAGGAAGCATTACTTGTTTCTATGTGTCTCTGATTATCAGATAAATACTCATTTAGGCATTTTTATCCTCAGCCTTGCCTGTGGGTCATCCCAAGGTAAGAGAAAGACAGTGCAGCAGTGTGAGAGGGAGATGGAGGCAGAAGGACGTGAGGAGCTCTGTCTGTGTCTAGAGCTGCTGGCTGGCAGGCGTTGCTTCTTGTAGACTCCAACAAGACTGGGATGAAGTGTTTGCTTTCTTTCCACCTGCTGTGCGAGTGGGAGAGACTAGTGAGAGAGGGGTGTGAGAGGAAGGTGCTCTTTCTCTGGATGGCTGTGTTTTCCACATGGTTTCTGGGATCCATCATGGTCTCCATTCTAAAGCATTGGAGAGGAGCAAGGGAGAGGTTACTTTCTATTAAAACAAGGGAAGACACATGTGAATAAAAGAGACATGTTAATTTTCAGAGACATATATATTCACTTTCCTAAAAAATTGTGAACTTTCAAAGCATGAAGGAAAAATGGGGGAGCAATCCATGAAAATTTCTCTGTTCTAACCAGTCAGCATGCAAGTGGCCATTCTTTCATATGACTTTCTCCCCACACTAAATAAGTTTTCATTCTAACCTAAGGATTTAAATAATTTTATCTAGCAAAGAGCAGGTATAATATTCAAGAGTCCTAAAAACAATTGTATTATAATCATCAAGAGTACAAGTGTTTTTAAACCATTAAAATTTATTTTAACAATTTTTTCCCTAAAGTCACTGATCATTCGATAGGCTGAGGCTGAGACAGATTGGCAAATGTAAAAAAGGATGGCATGGTTTTGTTTTTATTTTCTTCAGTCATTATGGGATTAGACCATGTATGAAGAGGGGCAAGATACAGACCTAGAAATGTGTGCCACTATCTAAGTGTGCACTCAGGCCTGAGTAAGTCAGTGGTAGAATGTATACTTAGCATGGGTTTGTTCCTGTGTTAGATGCACAGCCAAAAAAAAAAAAAAAAAAAAAAAAAAAAAAAAAAAAAAAAAAAACTGTTCACTTGACGGTTAAGCTGGAGTAGTTCCCAGGCCAAACTTTTAATTTACTCTCATTTCCTGGAATTGCAACTCAACGTTTTAAGAGGATGCAAGTCAGAAAGACACACTATGTGAGCAGTTATTTGTTTGAGAGGATATGTACAACTTTTACTTCTTCTGATTTTGGTGAGCTGTAATATGTTTCATGAGGCATGTCCGTGGCATGAAGCAATGCAGGAATATCATCGTACATAATTCTTTGCGCTTCCTGGTGTGTGTTCTCCACTCAGGACGTAAATATCCAATCTATGCTGTCCAGTGGCACCCTGAGAAAGCACCATATGAGTGGAAAGGATTGAAAGGCATTTCCCATGCACCAAATTCTGTGAAGACGGCATTTTACTTAGCAGATTTCTTTGTTTCTGAAGGTAATGTATATACAGGTGTATAGTCTCTTTACTCCATTGCGACTTTTGAGGGAGTTTGTCCTTCTCTGGGCTCCTGTATATGTTTTTTTTTTAAATTATTAAATAATGTCCATAGATTCAACTGGAAAATGTTAAGTAATGTTAAAGCCTTGAAATTGAGATATTAGGTATTCAATAAAAATCAGGGCAGTTATTTAACATAGTCAGACATGATCCAGTGGGCTGAGTTCTTGCACAGTGATTTAAAGAATATGGAGCTCTTTTTTTTTCTCCTTGAGCACTTCCAATTTCTATTTTCAAGAACAACGATGTAATTATAACAGCCTTTGGGCATTATATGTTATTTTTCCAAGACAACGGTATAAATTAAATTATATGCTATCATAAGTCTGGGGCTTTATGATTGTTTGTCTGTAGGCAATGGAATACTGGGGAAAAGTTACTAACATAGATTTCCATTGTGGAAGTTTCATATTGTGGTTAGATAAAGAATTTGGGCATAGGTATTTATATCTTAGTTGAACCATATGGGTGAGAACAGTAGAGGCAGTATGAAAGGTGAGGTATGAGGTGAGGAGTGTTCATCTTAGCTCCAGCTTGCCCTATGCTTTTTGTCTATCTTCTTGCCCAGGTTAGGAGCCTAACAACCTCCATCTGTTTCATTTGTGTTTGAAATTATGTATAATTGTGGAGAAATTCATGAAAAAAAAATCCAAGTGAGTTTTAAACATAATAAAACCATCCCATACATAGTGTTGGTCCAAAGGAGTATTTCCTCTATGGGCAGGAGTGAATAGCCACAGTGGACACAACAGGCTTTGCTGTAGCTTTAATCTTGTGGTGGTGGTTGGGTCCATATCTGCCAACATTCTACATAAAAGAATGTCAGAGGACCTGTATTTACTTTGACTTTATTCTCAAAACTTAGTTCTCACCTATCTACAAACTTTTCTCTGGCCTCGTTTGTTGAATAATTCTGCCCTGTTTCCTCTGCTGGCATTCACGTTAATTTCTCTACTCCTTTAACTTGTGCACCATCTCAGTGCAGGAATACTGTAAAGACAGTCCACCATTTAATTGTGTATGTCTGCTAGACTGTACTTCTCTAGTAATGGGTCCATGTCCTGTCTCTTTGTTCATGCAGGCCTGTATCAAGTCTTGTGCTCATTTAGCTGTGTAATGAATGGTATACTCAGTTGGGGGCAAGTAGCTGGTGTAACAACAGCAACTGTACTTACACCGACACAGCTATATTAGGGAGTGGAGTCTCTGAGGCATTTTCTTCTTGCTCTTGCTTCCTCAGTGAATAATACTGACCTTAGGAAGAACTATTATAAAGTACTCTCTTGAAAATCTTGTCAATCAGTCTTTTAATAAATGAACATTATTTTCTCTTGCAGCCCGGAAAAACAATCATCGCTATGAGAACGTATTTGAGGAAATGCGATCCTTGATTTATCAATTCAAACCAGTTTATACTGGAAATATTTCTACATTTGAGCAGTGTTACTTGTTTCGCTGAGAGTCTTCAATATGGTAACAAGGCAACTTAGAGCAATTCAGTGATTGAATTGCTAACTCACTGCTAATGGCAACATGAGGAAGCCATACAGATTCCTTTTCTGTACCTGGTTCTGATTCTTCACTTAGTACATGATTATTTTTATCATATTTGATAACTCCACAATGAAAAAGTCTTAGTGTTTTTCATGGAAAAGTTTTCTGGTGTCTAAAGATTAGAAAAATATAAATTTTTTGAAAGTATACTTTTTGTGTGATTTATTATCGATCATAGGAGAAAAAGCCACCCCAAATCTACCCATCTTATTTTGGCTAAAATCTTTTTAAGTTCTACCTACAGGTCCTTATGACTTGGGTGTCAGAAATGTGTGTGTGTGTGTGCATGTGTGTGTATGTATGTGTGTCTAAAGATACGTAGATGTTTTTCTTTCTGCTTTGTTTTTAGTCCATGGTTAATACACTGAAATCAGAGTCTATATATTTCACTTTTTATCTGCTACAACATGTAACACTAAACTTCCAAGGAGTATCTGTGGCTATTTGTAAAATGATCATTTCCCCCCCCCCCATGGAAAATAATTGAAAATCATTCATACATATATTTCTGGTGTTTTTCAATATATTTCTCTATTTGTACTACTCTCCTTGATCACTTCCCATCCCATATATATCCTCAAAAGTCTGAAACATACGTATTCCTTGGGGACTTGTGATCTGATGGAAATAAAGACTTTTGCTTTTTTTAATTTTTAAAAATGTGTAATATGTCTATTTTTGTGTGTCTGTGTGGTGTGTGGATATGTGTCTGTAAATGAACTAGCCCAGAGGTTGTTGCATCCTCTGGAGTTAGAGTTCCAGGTCGTTGATAGCCACTGATGTGGGTGCTTAAAATCTAACTTGAACCCTCTCTCTGCAAGAACAGTACATCCTCTTAACTGCCACTCCATGTGTTCAGCCTCAGAAATAAAGTACTTGATCTATGTATAATAAATGGCGCTTATAATTTGTTTTCCACTGTTGTTGAAGATGACATATGGGAAATGGAATGATGTTGGAGTATGTATGAATTTTATGTGCAGAAAAGAATCATGATCTGAATATACTATGAGAAACCATACTCCTGGGCAGTAAGAGCAAACAGGGCACAGAAATAAAAGGGAATGTAGTTTCAGTCAACCAAGACAGAGCTTTCTTTACTGAATATTGTCCAGTGTCCCATTCCCAGCTAAGTTTATGCCTCTTTCTGTCAAGAGAGACATGAATGACTTAGCATTCTAGCAGGGTGGTTCAGTGCTTCATAGATCTGCTCGTCTCTGGTGGCAAAACCCTGGTAGCGTCTCCTCTCTTCTGCTTGCTCCACAGTGGCTCACAAACAGCTGCATGAACATGTGAATGACCACCTTTTTCCTCACGTTAAGTCTGGTAGTTTCCAACTGTGTGCTTCTTATTTTGAAGTCTTTACAGTAGAATCTATTCATTCCCAGGATAAAATTTCTTCCAGTGTTACCCTCCTCTGCATCCCTCACAGTACCACAGGAAGGGTAGGCAAGGGCTCGACAGTGTGTTTGAAAAGCAGGCCCTCTTAGAAGTGTTCTTCCATTGGGGGAATAAGAGACAGGGCATTGAGTAGCAGAGCCTGATGCTGTTGCTGAACCATGGCTCTGGAAGATGGGGCTCCACTCCTGAAACATGCTGTGGAACAGCTGGAGGAGGGGGAGGACCATGTACTGCCCTGCTCCAAGGAGGGGAGCACAGACTAAAGAGTGAGGTGGTGTATGTGTTAACTATGAAAGCAACCACAAGGACATACAAAGGAAGGCTGGGGAAGCCTGGGTCTGTAACATGCAATAAACACAGTTCTCACTGTGGTCAGCTGATGGCATCTTTGAAGGCTGTTTGGAGAATGCCCTTTAGTCCTCCCTTTTATGTTTCCCTTCCTCTAACTTATATAGAATTATATAGATGCAGTAATGAGGGTGTTCATAAGGGGCCATTTCTCTACTCGGTTCTAGTTATTACATGGTTCTGTGGGCCCACGGCACTGAATCTGAGGCCTGGCATAAGATGTGTTATGGGGGATGTTGTGTATGTCTGCATTCCATACTCTAGAGTAGGGGACCCTCCTAACCCTTGTCATTAGGTCAAAGTTCCATGGTTAGGATGGTTATGTATCTTCCAAAAGCACAGAGATGACTCACCAGGAATTACTGGAGCCTGGTACACAGTAGGACTCTTGTAAATCCCTGCCCAAGTTAGCTTTGTCAGTCTGACACAGCCTAAAATCATCCTAAATGAGCCACAGTCAACAAGTTGTTTAGATCAGATTGGCCAGTGGGCGTGTCTGGGGGGGAATCATCTTGAGTATTAATGGATGTAGTAAGGTTCAGCTTACTGTGGGCAGTGCCATCCCTAGGCAGGTGGTCCTAGGTGGGATCAGAGAGCTAGCTAAGCTCAACTCAGTGCTTGAGCAAGTAAGCAGCATTGCTCCAAGTTTTCTCCTTCGGGTCACGGTCTTGACTTCTCTCAATAATGGGCTGTAACCTGGAAGTGTAAGATTAAATGAACCATTCCTTCCCTTAAGTTGCTTTTGATTATGGTGTTTGTCATAGCAATAGAGATCAAACTAAAACAGAAATTGGTACCAGGGAAGTAGGTATGTGGTCACAGTGAACTTGGCCATGTGACTTTTTATGTGTTTGGACTGTTTTGTTGAGGATTTTGGAGCTTTGGGCTGGAAATGCTGTCTAGTGCTTATAGCTTTATGGGCTGTTGCTGTGGAAGCTTGGTCCATAATGCTTAGAGAAATGGACTGTGGAGGTCTGGCTTGAGCGCTTCAGAGCTTAAAAGCTGGCATAGGAACTATTCCTGTGATACCGGTGACTAGTCATTTGTGCTGGTCTGTAACACTGAGCCTAGGAAATCAGGTGTGATTAACAAACTCCACAGCATTGAAGTGAAAGTTTTTTGTGCTGTATCAGGACATTATAGGACACTAGTCTGGCTGGGCTAAAAAATCATCTGTGATGAGTAAAATGTCAGCATCACTGAAGTGAAATCTGGAAAGTGCCTTTTCAGGGTTGGCCCACAGAAGTTTGCTCCAAGGGATCCCAGGCTTCATCTCAAGCTGGCAGCTGCAGTTGGAAGGACAAAATGGCTACCCACATGGTACTGATTTTGAAGACATGAAGGCTTCAGGTTATATAGCGTGGCAGAGCCCTAGATTTTGTTCATGGTATTCCTTACAGCCACAAGAATGCAAACTAGCACTGTACTTGAATATACTCTCCAGAATTGCATTAGGAAATAAACCATATGCTAATTTTCTCATAGGAGAAAGAATTAAAGCCATTTCCTACAAAATGGAAATTTTAAAATACATAAAGAAATTGAAGAAGGCACCAAAAGAGAGGTTTCCCATGTGTGTGGGTTGGTAAGATTAGTAGGGTGAATATGGCCATTTTACTAAAGCAATCCAGATTCATTCAGTCTCCATCAAAATTCCAATTCTACACTGAAACACAGAAAAGCTTAAAATTTACACTGAAGCACAAAAGACTCAATCCTGAACAATGAAAACATTGCTGGAGCTGTCATCGGTCCTGATTTCAAATTACACTACAGAAAATAATAAAAAACAGTCCAGGCTCACACAAAACAGCATGATGGTCAGTAGAATAGAAGCCCCAAATATAGGTCCACAGACCTACAGCTATAGGAATTTTGATAGGGGCCAAAAATATCTGTTGGGGAAGAGAGCGTCTCCAGCAAATGGTCCTACAAAAATGGGATGTATACTTGCAGAAGAACTAAACTTAATCCTTACATCCCACTCGGCACAAAAAGCAATTCTAACTAGATCAAAGACCTCAGCGTTATACCTGAAACTTCAGAGGAAAGAGTAGGGAATAATCCGGGATATGGCCTAGGTACAGACTTTGTGACTAGTATCATTCATGGAATAGGAGCAATAATCAACAAATGGGACCCTGTGAAATTAAAAACAAAACAAAACAAAAAACTGCTGTATTGTAAAAGACACTTGATTGATAGAAGATGCATACAACCAAAACAACCGAGCCAACTAAAACCTGTAAAGGGAAACGGTCTTTATCAGTTCTACACACATCTGACAGGATGAGTGTCTAGAATATACAAAGACTAAAACATCTAGTCACAAGAAAACACAACCCACATAAAATTGGGGCTTTTATTTTTTTACTCCATTTTTTAAATTTGAATTAGAAACAAGATTGTTTTACATGTCAATCCCAGTTCCCTCTCCCTCCCCTCCTCCCTGCCCCCCCCAACTAACACCCTACGTATCCCATACCCTTTCTGCTTAAAATTGGGGCTTTTAATTAAATAGAATTCTCAAAAGACAAAAATACAAGTGGCTAGGAAAAGTTTTATTTATTTTAACTAGTATATTGAATTTAAAAAGTTGAAGATCCCATATTTTAACACTGTCCTTTGTTTAAAAGTAGAATACCTAATTAGAAGATTTGGATATTGGTCTGCATTGGACACATTGTGGCTGCAACACAGATGAGAAAGCTCATACAATGCCCTGACATGGATTTGATACCCTCCCTCAAAAGAATCCTATAACGAATTGTTCCCAAGCCCCTTTGAAATTGCAGTATTGAGCAAACCCACAAACAACTGCTTGTCTACTTGTTACCTCAAATGTAGATCAAAAGCCAACAGGAAGTTTACCCCATGTGTAACTTTTAGAAAGAAATCTTAAGTTGAAATATCAAATTTACACAGGGTTATTTTTTCGAAGAAGGCAAGAAACCACCCAGGCATGGTCAGAGGCCAGCTTCTGTGTTGTAGGCTGTGAGAGTGGCCTCCTTCAGGGGCTGAGATGTGAAGGAATGGACTTGGAACGGTGTAGGCAGCTCAGGCAATGTGGGCTATACTGAGGCAGGATCCAGTGATGACTTGATTCGAGCTGCCCTTTGGTTTACTGGCCCTGAGCAGGTTGTTGATGCTGTCAGTGGATCCTGCCACTGTCACTGCTCCAAGACCCTGTCCAGGGAATCCTGTGAGGCAGTGTTTCTATTACTTTTGGTCCAAGGGGGGAAGTGGTTTTCTTCCTTATTGTCACTTCTCCTTGTTCTGGGGTAGAGACACTTTTTTATGGCAACTTGTGGAGCCATGTACAAGGACAGCTAGCAGAGGAATCTGTGTTCTGATGACTGCTACACTCACCCCCTTGGACCCTGGCTCTAGCCACTCATCA